GGCTCAGTCATTAAGCGTCTGCCTTCAGCTCAGGTCATGATCCCAGGGTCCTGGGATCGAGCCCCACATCGGGCTCCCTGCTCGGTGGGAAGCCTGCTTCTCCCTCTCCCACTCCTCCTGCTCTTTCTCTCTCAAATAAATAAATCTTTAAAAAAAAAAACCAAAGATTATTTCTTACTCATGGTGAACGTCCATCTGGGAGGAAGGGGGTGGCAAGTAGGCGACTTTGCTTCATCATCTTCACCAGGGCCTCAGGCTGATGGGACCTTCTAAACATCACCAGTCATGTGGCAGGGAAAGTTAGTGTGTGGCTCTCACGCTTCTCTCACATTTCATTGGTCAAAGCAAATCCACAGCCATGCCTATCATTAAGGAGGTGGGAAGAACAATCCTACCATGTACCTGGAAGGATGGGAATCAAAATACTGATGAAGCCAGGGGATCCCAGAGGTAGTGAGGACATTCAACGGTTATTATAATATAGATGTGAAGGGATCAGATACCGGGGAAGTATATCAATTGGAACGAAAAGGAAAGCACAAACAAAAGAAACATTTCAGAGTATTTCTGAAGGGTAGCTACAGAAGACTCCCAGCTTTAGAGTCTGATTGGGTAGAAAAGAAATATTTTGGAGGAATTGGTTGGGGTGGGAAGTTCAAAGGCTAAATTTGGAATGAACATGCCAAGTCATGCCAGAAATTAAGGTGGATATTCATCCAATCTCATCCTGTGTCACTCCCCCTTTCTAACTTTCTGTTCCTTCATACACCAACCTTGTTCTCACCTTAGGGTTGTTGTACCTACTGTTTCTTCTGGAATGCTCTTCTCTGGGTTCATCATGAGCTCCTGCCTGTCATTTAGTGTCATCTTCTCAGAAAGGCTTTCCCTGGCCCAATAAATGTAGCCACCTAGTCACACTTTATCACATCTCCCTATTTCAGTTATCAGAATAGTACCTAGAGCTAACTGGTATTTTTGTCTATCCCCCTCCCCTCATTAAAAAGCAAGCTCCATGAGAGCTCCATGGACTGTGTCCTGTGTCACCAGCTTCAAGTACAGTGCCAGGCACAGAACTGGTCCTCAGTAAATATTTACTGAATGTTCACATGGAAATTTCAGTTAAGAAGTATGCAATGAACCCCCAAAAACAAAAAACCCAGTTAAGAAATGGGCAGAAGACATGAATAGACACACTTCAAAAAAAGACATCCAGATGGCTAAAAAAAGATGCTCAACATCATTCATCATCAAGGAAATCTAATCAAAACCATGATGAGATACCATCTCACACCCATCAGGATGGCTAAAATTAACAAGAAACAACAGATGTTGGTGAGGATGCAGAGAAAGGGGAACCCTCTTGCACTCTTGGTGGGAATGCAAACTGGTGCAGCCACTCTGGAGAACAGTATGGAGGTTCCTCAAAAAGTTAAAAATAGAACTACTCTATGATCCAGCAATTGCACTACTAGGTGTTTACCGGAAGGATACAAAAATACAGATTCAATGGGACACATGCACCTCGATCTTTATAGCAGCATGATTAACAATAGCCAAACTATGAGGAGAGCTCAAATGTCCATTGACTGATGAATGGATAAAGAAGACATGGTTTGTATATACAATGGAGTATTAGCCAGCCATGGAAAAGAATGAAATCTTGCCATTTGCAATGACATGGATGGAACAAGAGTGTATTATGCTAAGTGAAATAAGTCAGAGAAAGACAAATACCATATGATCTCACTCATATGTGAAATTTAAGAAAGAAAACAGATGAACACATGGCAACGGTGAAAAGAAAAAAAGGAGGGAAACAAGCCATAAGACACTCTTAATGATAGAGAAACTGAGGGTTGATGGAGGGAAGTGGGTGGGTGTGGCTATATGGGTGATAGGTATTAAAGAGGGCACTTGTTATCATGAGCACTGGGTGTTATATGTAAGTGATCAATCACTTAATTCTACTCCAGAAGCCAATATTGCACTGTATGTTCACTAAAGTTTAAGTTAAAAGAAAGAAAGAAAGGAAGGAAGAAAGAAAGAAAAAGAAAAAGAAAGAAAGAAAGGAGAAATATAGGTCCAATGGGGAAAACAGATTTGGAATGGTTAAGTTTCTCTAAGGTATTGAAGATGAACAAGAAGCATTAACCCTTTAGGAATGTTTTCCCTCGGTGTTTAGAGAAGTGTAGGAGACTGAGAAGTCTAAAACGTAGAATAAGTGGTTCCTAGGAAGGAAAAAATTTCAGTGAGGGATGGGTCAGTGGGAGCAAGAGGGAATAAGAAAAAGACTATTGCATTTGGAAAGGTCATTTGTGGCCACTGAATAAAGGAGTGAAAATGTAGGGGTTGGGGCGCCTGGGTGGCTCAGTCCGTTAAGTTTCTGCCTTCCGCTCAGGTCATGATCTCAGGGTCCTGGGATGGAGCCCCGCATGGGGCTTCCTGCTCAGCAGGGAGTGTGCTTCGCCGGCTGCCCCTTGCTCGTGTTCTCTCTCTCTCTCGCTCTCTCTCTCAAATAAATAAAATCTTTAAAAAAAAAATTAAAAAAAATTTTAAATATAGGGGTTAAGGAGAGAAAGGATATAGCAGGTATAGCTCATTACTGTAGTAGTTTGGCAGTAGAGGGAATTAGTACTCTAGCAGGATTCAGTGGTTTATCTTTTGAGGAGACCTACTCATTTCTCAAGGGAAGCGAGCTAGAGAAGAGGGAAGATGTAGAGAAGGGTACTTAACCTAAAGATCATGGACCCCTACGTGTGTGCATGGGGGGTGGGAAGTGGAGGGAAGAGGATCTGTAGTTTCCTTACTTTCGCAAAGGTCCAGACCCAAAGGTTAATAACCATTGCTAAGAGAAAGAGAATAGATGAGTAACAGTTAAAAACAAACAAAAACCCCCAGAGGCCCAGAGAAGGGCTTCGCTTTAAAGAAAAAAAGGAAAGCCTCTTCCTTAAAGAAAAGCTATACGGAGATGAAGTTCACAACTCCATCATCATCTCGGTAAAATAGGTAGTAAGGACAGAGCTGGAAACACTAGGGAGGCTTGTGCAAACACGCTCCAGAGAAGGGATACTGAAGCAGGGACTACGGAGGAGCGAAGAAAGCTCCTGCGTTCCTCAACAGAGCCGGCAACCCTCGTGTAGCTCCCGCGCAACGTCACGGCCCAGGAGGTGGTGCTCCAGGCTGGGAATCGCTGGCATTGTTCTTTAACCAGTGAGTGCCCCTCTCAAACTCTGGCCGACCCGCCCGACCAGCCTGGGAGAGACAGCGGTCTTATCACAAAAGGCAATACCACCAGGCAGTGGTGGTCATCAGTGCGTCAGCTCAGGGAAAAACTCTATGTCGGAGCTTCTCCATAGTCGCCGTACTTTCTGTGCTGTTTGGGCAGCTGCCTCCAGACCGGCCTCTCCACCTGTCGTCATCTCTGAATCATCCCGCCCCATTTCGACATCTCTTTTTCCTGCCTCCAGCTCTCGGCCTGGCGCAGGACCCAGCGACAACGGGCCCCGAGAACTCATTCATTCAACAACCGCAGGGTTTACTGGGCGACTTCGGGTGCAAGCCCAGGGCGGCACGCCGGGGCCTGAGGAGCACAGGGCCCTCAGGAGTCGGCTCGCGCGCGGCATGGGGCGGTCCATGGCGGACAGCACGCCAGATCCAACCGGAGTCTAACGGGCCTCCGCCCGCATGTCGCAACAGCTTCCCGGACAGGCCCGCGGGCCGCGCCAGAGTATACCCGGCCCAAGCTGGCTCCACCTCACGCCAGCCCGAGATCCCGCGGGAACAGAGCTCTCGGGCCAGGGCCGCCCGCCAGCCCGCGACCCCGCGTGTCTGGGGATTTGGGGGCCCGCGCTCGAACGCAGTTCTAACGGCTGACTGCAGCGGTTTGACCTTGAAGGCCTGGCACTCCCCCCACCCCCACCCCGAGAGAACCCCGCCTGCAGCACCCGCAGCTCCCCAGGCGCTAGTCTGGGGCCCAAATCCGCTCTCTCTCGCCCCTGGGCTCTTCGCTCTCTTCCCGTAGCCAATCGGATCCCGACGTGGTGAGGGCCAATGGCCGCGGTCAAAGTATCAAGAGTGGTTGAGCCTATCAAAGTTCTCCCTTAAGTTTCTCCCGCCCCCAAGAAAAATCAGTGGGCGGGTTGTTCTTATATGTTGGCCAATCAATGGCCAATAAACAAGAAGCTTCCAAGATCAAAGGGGAAGGGGTGGGACCTAAACCGTAGCAACGCCGCAGGGCGGAGGAATGACAGGCAACTTCTCTAATACCACAGACATCTTTTTCCTACGTAAGCAAAGGGGCGGGGCTAACTTGGCGGCCGCACCAATGGCTGGCTGAGGGGTGTGTCCTTGAGTCAAGCGGGAGCCGGAGGCCCCGGGCTCTCTGGGCCGCGCCTGAGGCGGACACGACGGGGCTGGGGGGCGGTGGCGGCAGCGGCAGCGGCGGCGAGGGTGGGCGCCGCAGCTGGCCCGGGTGGATGGAGTTGGAGGGGCGGGGTGCTGGCGGTGTGGCGGGGGGGCCGGCGGCTGGGCCGGGGCGGAGCCCCGGGGAGTCGGCGCTGCTGGACGGGTGGCTGCAGCGGGGCGTGGGCCGGGGGGCCGGCGGCGGGGAGGCCGGGGCCTGCAGGCCCCCGGTACGGCAGGATCCGGACTCCGGCCCGGACTACGAGGCGCTGCCGGCTGGAGCCACTGTCACCACGCACATGGTGGCGGGCGCCGTGGCAGGGATCCTGGAGCACTGCGTGATGTATCCCATCGACTGCGTCAAGGTGAGACCTGGACCGGCTCCGAATCCGACCTGGGGCTGACCCCACCCCTGGGTCCTGTCCAGAGCCAGGATCCCGGTCGAGAGCCGGAGCCGACATGGGTTTCTTCCTGGCTCCTGCCACCGCCACACGATTCAACCGATACTCCATGCAAGCAAGGTCCCGGCTGGGAATGGAACCCACCCAGGAACCAGGACCCATTTCTAACCGTCAGTGAGATCTGAATCGGGACTGTGGAAAGAAAATCTGTCAGCCAAAGTCCTGGATCCTAGCTGGGACTAAACAGGAATAGGGTGGGATGGGATGGAACAGGTAAGTAATACTGACTTGATTTAAGGTGAAGCCAACTGGGGTGAATCAGACCCTGAATAGGATCTTAATGGCTTGAGATGTTCTCTGGGCGAGTGCTTTTACAAGCTTCTTGCTGTGTCTACCCTTAAAAGTGATGGGGCAGGAACCGAAATCTGGTATCTCTCAGCAAGATGAAGTATTTACTTATTAAATCTTAGCCCATGAGTGACTGGAAATCATTTGTGCAGTCAGAATTCATAGTTCCAGACTGGAAGTAATTTGGGAAAGACCATGTTCAGGAAAAGGTTTCGGTTTCTCTGCAGCAAGCATGATACCCCACCTATTTCCTGAACGTGAAACCTAAACTGGGATTAGGATTTCGTATGTGCAGGGAGCACATCAGCCCCCAAACAAGAGATGGACCTGACAGTGTATTTCTTTAGCCATGTGAAGTTGACAAAAGGGGAGAGTTGCCTAGAAGGGAAGCGTGATGATATTGAAAATGAAAGGGGAGCAACATGAAGGCATGATTCCTGTGAACCTAAAAACTAGTTGTAGCCACAACCAAGCAGACTGGTTAGTGGGTAAAGAAGTCAGGTGCTTCTGGAGAAAGCTAGGTGAAGAGGGGAACAGGTTGTTCTTTACAGTTCTTATTCTTGTGCATTAGCAAAGGTACCAACCTCTAAAAGTGAGGACTAAATTGAATGAAAAGTAAATTCCAGGGGACTGTTGAAATAAATGTATTGACAGAGACTGACACCTCCTTTACATGTTAAGGGTAATAGTCAAACAGTATTCTCACAGCTCTTTGAT